AGTAGGTAATAGTAAAGTAAACTAACTAATAAGTTAGTAGTATTTAATTTAACTTTATCTGTAGTACTACGACACACACACACACACACACACACACACACACACACACACACACACACACATATTTCCTATGTGACATACATCATTAAGATCATACTGAAATGGAGCACTTATTTTTTCACTTGAAGTTTTGAAGTTAACTTTTCAAGATATTTTTTTTAGCAGGTACTTAATTTATGAATGTATTTAATTGCATAATTTCAGTTTAATAAACTTAAATATGCATCATACAAGCATCTTTAGGTCAAAGCTACAATAAAGATTAGTTTTAACCTGTTTAAAACCACTCGGAGAAAGAAAGAAAGAGAATCGTATAAATTGTTCTTAAGACTAATTGTGATGGCAATGTAAAATCACATTTGTAGGACTATTCGTTATATCTTATAACATTGTTCCTGTTGTTTTTGGTACACACGTGTAGTTTGGATCAGTCCTTGAATAGATAGTAATTGATAGTCTTATACTAGTAATTATCATCTGTGTATATAATTGGACTGACTGTAGTCTTTTTGTTATTTTTATTAAGTTGCTTTTTCACATATATAAGTTTTATCTTGGTTATTGTACGAGATCAGTCATCTTAAGTAGCACTAACTTGACATGAGAACTTAGGCTTAATGTGGTTCATACATTGTGCCTCATTTCTCACTGACTCGGCCATAGTGCTACAATAAACATGAAGGCCAGTTGAAGAATCTTTTTTCTTTCTTTCTTTTGGTTTTGAGAAAAGAAATAACACCAAGGTGAAGCAAGGAGTAGTGGGTGCCAACCTTGGAATTTGTCTGCCTCTCCTAATTTATTTACTAAAAAAAGATTGGATTTCCAGAATACAACGTCTTCATTTACTAGGTAACCCGGTACGAGGAAAACCCACTCAGCAAAACATTATCCAGTCACCAGTTATCCTGTAGAGCTTCTAAATGTTTCATTCTACTTACCTTTAAAAAAAAAAAAGCATTTGCCACCCTTTCCTTTTAGAATCCTGGAATTGGCACTGGTTATTACTGTCATATATTTTTATAAACGGTATGTTTTTTGTACTCTAAGTTATAAACCTGTTTTTTGTGTGTGTTGGTGAGTGAAGAGAAAATTTACTGTTTTATCTGTCACAAATCTTTTCTTGCCAACATCAGTGACTGGAGAAATATGAGGACAAAACTCCAACAACATCCAGATTTTAGTCAATATTTTCTTAAAAGTCCTGATGAACAATCTTGGCAAGAAAGTGACTTGGTGGATATCACCGAAACTCGTATTCCGTTGGACATTTTAGACACCGCTGAGGCAGAAGCATGTTTTGAGGAACACAAGACTTCACTAGAGGCTGATGAAAACCGAAAAGAGTAAGTTTTTTTTTTTTCTCTTGTCTAAGTATTTTACAATTAAAACATGAACCAGTTTGATTGTGAGTTTATCTCTACTTAACCTGGAACTCTAAACACCTTGGACTGTAATATTATAATTTCTTGTTAATCTTCATTAGTGGTAAAGCTACATGAAACTGGTTTGTTAAAATATAATTAAGAAGAAAACTGGTAAACTCTGTGTAAAATTGGTAAACTGTCATTTTTTGAGCATAAATATAATTGAAGAATATAAAGTGTTGTCATGACAACTGAAAAACACTACCTGGCTTCTCCAGACTCCTCAGTTGTCATGACAACTTAATACTCCATCTGGCTTCTCCAGACTCTCAGTTGTCATGACAACTTAAAACTCCACCTG